GCGGCGACCGCGACAGGAGCAAGAGCCGCCGCAAGGGCAGGAGCAAGAGCCGCGGCAAGAGCAAGGACAGGAGCAAGAGCAGGCCGTTTGGGGGTTCAACGCAGGGGTGTCGCCTGGGCTTCGCATTCGCTTTCGGTTTCCGTTCAACTCTTCAGGTTCGGATCGGGTTATTTATTTCGCTCGGCTCGAAGTGTTGTCATTTTCGGACAACCCCGAAGGCTCCGCAGGGATAAGGACGCTGAGAAGGAGCGGAGGCGACAGGAAGCGAGGGAGAAGGCCGAGCAGGCCAAGAAGGAGACGCAGGAGAAAAACCTGGCGCTGACGTGGATCGGCACCGCAACGAGGCTCGAGACAGAGCTGGACGGGTACCTCGAGCATGAGAAGGCGGACAAGGTGCCGTCATGGGCTGTGAAGAACGCGAAGGAGGCGAGGAAGTCTGTGGCAGTCATGAAGGCGGTGGCGCAGAAGCGCGTGCACAGCGGCGTGGCGTTGACGATCACGCAGGACGAGGCCATCAGCATCCAGAAGGATGCGAGCTCGGCGGCGAGGGCCATCGCGGGGATGCTCAAGGAGGCGAAGAAGCACAGCACCTGAGCGCCCCATGGTGGCCCAGTACATCATGAAGTACGGCCTGAAAAAGGTGGAGAAGGACCCGAATAAGCCGCGGCCGCTGGGCCGCTCGTGAGCAGGGGCGGCAGTTGGGCCGCCCCTGACGAGGTGTGTGATTTCGTATATACAATTGTTATTGTTGGTGAAACAACATTTCCACCGCCACCCCACTCGTTACCACCGCAGCCCTTCGTTTGGCGGGGATGCCGCCTTTCCACTCTCGCAAGCCCTTGGCGGACATGCCGCCTTGCCTTCATTTGGCGGAGATGCCGCCTTTGCTGCTCATCGCGCTCCGATGCCTCACTTGGCGAGGCGAAGCGCTTGCATGACTCCCTCCTGCTCGAGCGCGTCCTGCCCGAGACCCTACCGCGCGAGCTGTGGCTCGCGAAGGCCAGCGACACCGTTGGGAATCCCATCGATTGGCGGTCGGAGACGAAGCAGAGGCGAAGCAGCTCCTTGGCAGGGGCGGCAGTTGGGCCGCTCATGACGAGGTGTGTGATTTCGCACAATTGTTATTGTTGTTGAAAAAAAAAACATTTCTTCGTTGCCATCGCCACCCCACTCGTTACCACCGCAGCCCTTCGTTTGGCGGGGATGCCGCCTTTCCACTCTCGCAAGCCCTTGGCGGACATGCCGCCTTGCCTTCATTTGGCGGAGATGCCGCCTGTGCTGCCCACCGCGCTCGCACCGTTCTCTCGCGTTTCCCAATGACATGATCTGCCACCGTCCCACCCCTCATCCGTAGTCTTTGTGGCTCAAGTGGAGCCGATCGAGGTCGTGCCCCTTCGCGGTCTTGCGCCGCCATGGCGAGCATCGCGGACAAGTACGACGTCGATGACTTCGAGCTCATCACGGGTGGCAGTGCGTGGAGCTGGGCGACCATCGTGGTGCGCGTCATCGAGTGGCGCAATCGTTGCCGCCATGCACGCGCCGTTGGCATCAAGGGCCAGATGCTCATCGACAAGGCGCGGCGCATGATGGAGGAGGCGCGCCGCACCGAGGAGCGCGGCAAGATGCTGTGCCAGACGTCGAAGCAGATGGTGCAGGACATCCCAGGCGGCATTCGGTTCTTCTGACGCCAGCCGCACCAGGAGAGCTGAGCGGCGATCGGCTGGGCCGATAGAGGAGGATAAGGAGGAAGAGGAGGCAGGATGAGGAGAGGAGGAGGAGGTGGATGAGGAGTTGGAGGCAGCACGCGCACCCGCACTAAGAACCGCCAGCCGCCGCCGCGCCCGTCCCGCGCTGCGCCCGTCCCGAGCTCGAGCCGCCAGCCGCGCCCGTCTCCGAGCGCTGGCGGCTTGGAACCCGAGCTTGAAACTCACGCTCGAAATTGCGTGCGAGAAAAAGAAATCTCCCTTGCAAGTTCCGTTGCTACGCTCACTTCGCGCCTCCGCAATCTCCCCCACCCACCCCCCTCCCCCCTCCCCCCTCCCCCCATGCCCCCTCGCCCCCACGCTCTTCGGCGGCTACGCCGCCCCCCCCGACCCTTCAGGCGGCTACGCCGCCATGCCCTTCGGCGGCTACTCCGCCCCGCGATCCATTCCCGCCTCCACTTCCGTCTCTCTGGCTGCAATTCGTTTTTCTCAACCGCGCTGGGCCTCGCGCTGCCCCCCGCCCCCGCCCCTCCCGCGCGCGGGCGTCGGCGCAATGGGAAACGCGCCCTGCAGGTGGACAAGCAGGTGGAGCAGCGGGCTCGACTGCAACAGTGTCTGGCCCTGCGCGGCGCGTCCGCGGCTTTGCTCGAGCGAATCGCGACTGCGCTTGGCCATGGCGACGACGCGGGCGATGCTATAGACGTGAGCGATCGGGCCATGCAGCGATCGCAGACGGCATCCGTGGCCGATCTCATCAGCGCAGTGCGGCTGCAGCCCAAGATCGGCACGCCTTTCCGATGGAGCGTGGCGCTGCCGCATCGGCTGATGCCGAGGCTCCTGTCGGACTGCCCTCTCTGGAGTTCAATGTTTTGGGAAGCGATGCGCCGTTTCCCTGTGTCGCGCGATCGGCCGTGGAGGCGTTTGCTGTACTACGACGACATTGGCGTGGGCAACGCCTTGAAGATAGATAATCGTCGGAATCAGCTCGCGGTGTATGCGAGTTTCCTCGAGTTCGGATCCTTCTTGCAGAAGGAGGTTGCGTGGCTGCCGATCGGCACCTTGCGCGTTGTCGTGAAGAAGAGCATCGGCGGCTCGGCCGTGGCGCGGGCATTGCTTCGCGCGCTGTTCCTGGGCCCAGAGAGTCTGTCGGAGCACGGTGCGCCAATCGGCGGCGTGCACTTTTTCGCCAAGTTTCACCGCTTGATTGCAGACGAGGCGGCTGGAAAAGAGACATTCTGCACCAAGGGCGCTGCAGGTCTGAGACCGTGCTTGCAATGCAAGAACGTTGTGCTGGATCAGGCGGAATGTCTTGCAGACTACGACGACGATGATTACCTCGTGCCTCTCTGGTGCGCTGACTCGTCGCGCTTTGACCCGCTGTCGTCAGACGAGTTTTTGCAGCAAAATGATGATTTGGCGTCGCTGCGGGACACGACAACCAGAGCGAACATCGAGAGACTGGAGCCAGGGAGGAAAAC